TTGTCCGCTTATCAAGGGCCCCTATTTTATAAACCCCGATTCTAGACTTTTACCAACAAAACTATTGTATTTTTCACTAATCAAAACATTTTTTGAGTCATTTTCCAGTTTCAAACAATATGAGTTCAAAGTAACATTATAGACTACTTTTTACACTTCACAGATATTTCTAAGTCTGTAACTTTATTGAATTCCGAATAACAAATAGAACAATATGTAGATGATTTTTTTTTTAACCCTAACCTTGTAAAAGTTTTTTTGATATTCGGTTTTGTTTCTGTGTGCTTTAACATTAAATTGCTTAGGAGTAAGACTAATTAAAATTTTTGAGAACAGAATTTTGGAATTTTTATATAATTAAAAAAGATTAAAATAATATCTTAAATTTAGCTATATTTAAAAATATATTTTTTAAGTCACTAAAATAGTGCATTTTTTTTAATTTAAAAAATAATATTCATATTCTCAGTATGTCTTATTTGAAAATTTTGACATTGAATTCTTAGAAACATCCTAAAATGTTTCATAAGTTATCTTTTAAAAAGTTATAATTGCACTTTAAAGAAGAGGTTTTTCTTTTCGTAGTATAAAATAAAGAACAGAAAAGGTTTATCAATCTATTTCACTTGTTTAAAAACTTCACCAGAGACTGGGATACTTTTCAAATATTCATGAATTTCTCTTTAAAAAATATTTTGTAGTATACCAAAATAACTAAGGTTAAAAAAAGGGTTGTTTTTTGGTTTTTTTTAACCGTATCTATTACTATTCAGCTAATTTTCATTGTGATCTTAATTTTGTTCGTCTTGTCACAAGACTCTTCTTGTGCTAGTTGGAGGTGACTCGTGTATTTTCCAACTGTGTGAGTTGCTGCATTTAAAGCCTTGGGAAAAACCGAGATTTTAAATGCACTTTTATAAGCAAGTACAGAAAAAAAAGTTACATGACCTGGAAGAAAACATAATCAAAAGATTGTGATATTGTGAAGATCAGTTATAAGAAGATCCAAATTCAAACAATGATTATAAAAGCTTAAGTTAGTCTTTGGTTCAACTGTTAGTTGTTACTGTTGTTAACAGTTTTGAAAAATCTACACAAGAAACATTCACTGCCTTAAAAAATAATAATCAGAGCAAATGATCTGTCTTTTTAGTGTTCAAGCCTGAGTAAAAGAATTTTAAATGCTGATTTTCTAGGCAGGCATTAGCTTGAAATATTTTCCTAATCATCATTATCCTTAGTAAATACCAAGTAACAATCAGGACAGGTCATTTCTCATTCAGAACATTTTTATTCATTATGGTCTCTGGAAGCTTTTCAACATTTACATCTATATCATATATACAAAATCTAGCTAATGCAAGTGATTCCATTTTTATTAAATGTCATATCAAATAATACCATATATTTACTTATAAATAAATTATATATTTTTATATATATATATATATTAAATAAAAGTTTTATAGAACTTACTCCACTCTTCTATTGAATTTATTAGTAGATATATCTATTTTAAAATACATTACAATTTTATGTTAATTATTGATATAATATGTTAATTATTGATGCTAACTAAATTTTAAATTTACTCTTTCTCAAGGACATTATTATTTGACATCTAATCTGAAATTGTTTATAATTACATAATATTTCCATGGTAGAAAGTAATTTGTAGAAAAATCTTAAGTAAATAAATATGGTAAATGGTTCTAATTTTAGACTTAATAATATTCAAAATAACTGATTATATTACTGGGCAAACAATTATTTTTTTAATTTCTTTAATTATTTATTATATTTATATATATATATATATATATATATATAAAAAAAAAAATACGGAAAAAACAAACAAAAATCCTAATATGCCATTATGCTGTTTTAATGTTAATTGCATATTAGGATTTTTGTTTGTTTTTTCTGTATATTTTTCTTCATACTGTTGGATCTATATCCATATATTTGCTTACATATATATATATATATATGGTTCAGCACTTTTACGAAGAATAAGATTCTCTGATTAATTATCTTTGTACCAATACCAGCATGACAGGGACAATTTTTGTACTGGCCTGTATGTATGACTTTCTACATTAAACCAACCATCTGTCACATTTTACCACTGTTGTGAGGTAGGTAAAATGCTTACAGTAATAAAAGAATAATAATGCTCAGATTTTGCTATGTGATTCCAGGTGAGACCATTTCAGCACTGAAAGGGAATAAAAAAAATTGTAACACCCTGAATATGTATCTCATTTTACACAGCAACAGATTTGTGAGTGTTCAAGAGAAATTTTGAAAAATTGCAATGCATGAAACTGGTTGTAATTAAATAAAACATCTGTCTGAATTTCTGGGATAAGGTGTTATTATTTACACTATTGATATTCAGACTATTGCCCTCATCTGTCTATATTTCTGAGATGAGGTATTATGTACAGTATTTACATTAGTCGGACTATTGTCCTCATCTTTGTCGCCATATTTGTCACAACGTTTCGGCCGTTGTACGCTCCGGCCTTTTCAGGTGGTTGGAATTTCGAACTGAACCCTTTATTTCGATCACTGGGGTAGACTGTTCTAGTTCCACGTGCCATGTTTGATGGATGTCAGTTATCAGTTATCTCCTGCTAATTTTCCCTCTGAAAGTTCTCCACTGCCTTAACCAGGTATTGAACTCACCTTCTTTGGGTCTGTCACTGGATCTAACCAACACCTTTATCCACTGTGCCATGTGTCCTTGAAGAAGGCTGGAGCGTACAATGGCCAAAACGTTGTGACAAATATGGCGACAAAGATGTGGACAATAGTCCGACTAATGTAAATACTGTATTGCCCTCATCTTTGTTGTTTTTTTCAACCATTGTGCCTTCCAGTCTTCCAAAGGTATACACTAATTTGGGTAACCTACAGGATATTCTGAAGTGAGCCCTTTATTTAATCTATGGGAGTAGATTGTGCTTATTTCACCGCTCATGTCAGGGATATTGTCTAGTTCTTTATTTATGAGGAACGGTGGAGTAATGGATAGCAGCTCAGATTGAGGAATTGGAGAGCCGAGTTCAAACTCCACTCAGATCCATTACATTCACTTACATGCTAATACCCTTGGGAAAGGTATAAATCCTCTTCTTCTCCCCCACCTCCATCAGGACAGACTGGGTTTTATAGCTTTGGGTGGAAACCAGTCTAGGAGAAGGAAAAACTGAATTCAAAACCGTCCTCAGCTCCATCAGGCTATGGGGCTCCCTTCTCGTTAGTTAACCTACTTAGAGAGCCCTTCTTCTCCACCTCTATTAAGTACTGCTTAGTTATAAATTGTTTAAATAAAACATGCATACATATGTATATAATGAAATGAATTAAGTCCAACAATTATTTAATATATATTCAGTTTATACATTATTTTTATAGATACAATTTATTTAAGTAAATGCTCTGTTTTTTAATTAAACAGTATTAATTTACTGGCCTGAATGTTTAAGAAATATGCATTCTGAATCAGTGAACTGAGTTTGTTATATTCACACAAATATTCTTGGGAAAGATATGGATCCTTCTCTTCTCCCTCCAGGTATGGGTTAAATAACAGGGTAGACTGGGGTCTGTAAGCTTGTGTCAATCAGTCTGACAAGTAAAACTGAATATCTCTTGCTTTTTAGACCATTATACTTTTAAAACTCGTTAAAATTTTGATAAATCATCTTTTCAACCAGTGGACCGATTATTTTATATCACATTTTTTATGGAATTTCTGTAACACTAAGGGGGATGTGTGTTGTGGTGTAACCGACATCACCTCGGAATGAGAAAGCAGAAAGCACTTGCATGTAAATACCCTTGCAAAATGTATGAATTAATCTCTTCTTCCCCTACCTATGGATTTAATAGAAGAACAAACTAGGTCCTATAGCCTTGGTTAGAAACCAGTCTACTGTAGAAAGAAACAGCAACCTACTGCGGGAAAATCTGCCTAGTTAGTCATGAAGTCAATGACGTGTTATCACGTATGACACTTAACTGACTAAAGGGAGATAACTTTCTCTTAAACAAAGGGAAGTAATTATCGTTGCCATAGCTAAATATTGACAGTGTAAATTGCAACGATATTAACTATTATTTTATGCAAATCAGTACCTCTACTTGCTTAGTCCACTCCCAACTTGAGAAGCTGTAGCAGGAAACTGACCCTCGACTGTGACCCAATAACAAAAGCTCAGGTCAAGATGCAGCTTCCGACATTCAGTTGAACAACAGAGCTCTAACCTTTACATTACAACATGTAACAAAGGCTTTCTCTCAGACCTACAGAATCCCTACTCCCTTGGCTCCAGTGATGCCTAGTTTTTCTTATTCTGCCTGAATCACCTCTGAACAGCTGTTGGTCACTGTGTAGAGGCAACCTTCAGAAATGGGGATATGTCACTGATGATGATCCCAACTGCCAATGTGCCTTGAAGATTCATCTGCACTTAATGTAAAAACCTTGAAACCTTAACACCCAGATGATAGGTTTTCTGTGAAAATTTACTTTAATTCTACACATATATTTACAGTTTGACTTATTGCAAATATAAGATACATTTTTCTTCACAGAAGGGCTGAAAAATCACCCTTATTAAAAACATATGATATCTCTTATTGGCTAATTTTTATCCCAACACTCATTATCGTGACGCCGTAACAATATTATTTACTCAAACTTGTTGCTAATAATAATAAGTGATTTGTTTTTCTACAGGCTATCATCCCATGCAGTCTTTTTAAAACCAGGAAATATTTAGATTTAAATTTTTTTTTTGAGATAATAATTCTTTAGTGATACAAGTTTTGTTAATTAACCCATAACTGGGGAAGAATAGGTGGATTGTATCTTTCCCATTTTATTTGAGTGTAATTGAATATCACAAACCCAACAGGAATTGGAACTCTGCTCTTCAATTATCAATTCTGTGCCATTATCCATTACAGCACACACATGCACACATCTAACCTGGTATTCCCAAGTGGTCACCCATCTAAGTACTGACCAGGCTGAATGCTGCTTAACTTTGGTGATCATATGAGAACTGTTGCTTCAACTTGATGTGGTCATAAGCCAATAGTAATAATAAAAATAATAAACATATAATAATTTTGCTTGATCTTCCCTTCATTAATCCTTTAGTTTGCATGACTATTACACTAAGCCAATACCTCATAAATAATGCACTATTCCATTTTGATCATGGGGAAAGACAAAAGACATATCAGAGACACTACTTAGTTTCAGTGAAAAAAAGAAAGTTGGAAGTGTTTAACATCTGCTAATACCTCATAAAGGACTATTCCATTCTGATCTGGTTTGGTTTGTTTTATGGCATATCAACCTCAATGGTTTATTTAATGCTGACAATTTTTATTGCTGGTAATATTTTTTTTTTTTTTAAATGTATTGCTGGTAATATTTTTTCCTTCAAAAAATCTATTTCTAGTAATATTTTTTCTTCAAAATCTATCGCTGGTAATGTTCTTTTTAAAAAAATGTATAGCTGGTAATTTTTTTTTTTTTACATGTATAGCTGGTAATATTTATTTTTTCCAAAAATGTATAGCTGGTAATGTTTTTTTTTCAAAAATGTATTGCAGGTAATATTTTTTCCTTCAAAAATCTATTTCTGGTAATGTTTTTTTTCAAAAAAATGTATAACTGGTAATAATTTCTTACAAAGTATTACTGGTATTAAAACTTATTTTTACACTTTCATAGTGTTTTGACCCCAGTTTGGAAGTTAACTATTTTCCCATAGCTGGGACCCTAACAAGTGCTAGCACCCCAGGTCAAGGTGGACCTGGGAACATCAGCAATTAAGAAGTGGTTCCACACTCCTCAAAACCTCCTGATCAGAGACCTTGCTGTTGGATGTAGTTTATTGTTCTACCCAGGACATGATTCTGATTTGGTGAGAAGAAAAAAATCATATCAAAGGCACTATTTACTTTCAGTCAGAAAATAAAAGAAAAAAGGGAAAATAGAAGTGTTTAATATCTCCTGCTAATACCTTATAAGTAATGGAATATTCCATTTTGATGTGTGAGAAGATAAAAGACAATATCATAGATGTTACTTTGTTTCAGTCAGAAAATGAACGAAAGAAGGGAAAATAAAAGTGTTTAATGTTTATTTCAATGAAATGGAAAAAGTTGTCAACTTCAAATCTTTACACTTGTACCTCCTTAATTCTTAAAATAACAACTAGCATTCATATTTATGATTGTTATTGTAATATTTTCACAGATTAAAACTGGCAATAATAATAATAATAATGGTAGTATAAAAAGAATTATTCTAATGAAGTATTGGTGGCATTGGTACCAGCTGATCTGTTATACCTGATTTGCATCAACACATTCCTATCATTAACCTGCTTGAAACTACAAAAGAAAAAGACATAACACTAACCAAAGAAACAACATTAAGACAGAAAAAAGATGTTCTTCATCTGAAGTGACCAAAAAAGAATGACGGTTATTTTTCACTAATGTGATGTGTTGCTTAATATTCAGTAATGATTAATAAATAAATATATAAATATATATATATATATATATATATATATATATATATATATATATATAAATATATATAAAATATATATAAAATATATATATATATAAATATATATAAATATATATATATAAATATATATATATATATATATATATATATAAATATATATATATATAAATATATATATATATATAATATATATATATATATATATATATAAATATATATATATATATATATATATATATAAATAAATATATATATATAAATATATATATATATATATAAATATATATATAAATATATATATAAATATATATATATATAAAATATATATAAATATATATATATATATATATATATAAATATATATATATATATAAATATATATATATATATATATATATATATATATATATATAAATATATATATAAATATATATATATATATATATATATATATATATATATATATATATATATATATATATATATATATATATATATATATATATATATATATATATATATATATATATAAATATATAAATACATAAATATATATATATAAAATATATATATTTTTTTATGTTTAACGTTGTTATTTATAGATAAAAAATGTCTTTTAATAAATAAATTGTCGGACCTTGTCCATTTCTTTAATATATGACGTCATTTGTTTACATTTGATACGCCAGAGCAGTTATGAATGTATGAGATTCATGGAAGATTGAAGTTTATATACCTTGTCTACCGAAAGGTTCTTTTTGCGGCGGTCCAAGGCACGTCAGCGTAAATGACGGTTCGTATAGGATGCAGGTTGAATCCTGTCAAATAAAAACAATATTTTCTATGAAAATTTCTCGGACATTCAGGCCGGGTAAATGTTATTTAATACTGTTTATCATAAATATATATTTGGTTAAATACTTGTATCTATAAATAACAACGTTAAACATAAAAATGTCTTTAATAAATAAATTGCCGGACCTTGTCCATTTCTTAATATATATATATAAATATATATATATATATATATATATATATATATATAAATATATATATATATATATATATATATATATATATATATATATATATAGAATACGTTTTCAATGCCAACATATGATCATATTATGAAACGGAACGCTGATCTTGAACATTTTCTGTTATCTGTTTTGTTCATTCTTACTCTTATGTCCATCGTCTTTTCATGCTGAGTTGAATATAGTCTAATGTTAATTATGTTTTATGAATATGTCCTGAAGATGGTCTACTAGACCAAACATCTGACGTTGACATTATATTAACATTAAAACATATAATTGCATATTAGGATATTTGTTTGTTTTTTCTGTATATTTTTCTTCATACTGTCAGATCTATATCCATATATTTGCTTATATAAAAATATATATATATAAATAAATATAAGTATAAATATATATATATATATAAATAAATATAAATATATATATATATATATATATAAATAAATATAAATATATATATATATATATATATAAATAAATATAAATATATATATATATATATATATATATATATATATATAAATTTAAATATATATATATAAATATATATAAATATATATGTATAAATTTAAAATATATATATAAATATATATATAAATATAAATATATATATAAATATATATATAAATATATATATTGATATGGCTTCTCTCCGTCTTTTCTGCAAATATTTTGGGTAAACTGCTCTAACGAGCTATTTTCACTGGTACCCTGACTACATGAATTTAAGAGTACTTGTAGGTTAGCCTGTCACTCTCACTCTTTTACTATTAAAACAGTTTTAAATATAACCACTTCTTCTACTCTAACAGCTTCTCTCACACTTCTCGACAATGGGAACTCCTTTCCTTTTACTTGCTTCCTTGATAACTATAATCATGAAAAAATTTAAATGTAATGTCAATCAACATCTTCTGATGCCTTGATCTTGATCCCCATTCTTCTCTTTATCCTTTTCTCAAACACCCCCTCTTTTCTCTTACTTTCACTCTCTGTAACCACTTGCATGCTAGTGGCTCTCCTGCCTTGCTTGGGGTGAAATGCTTAAAAAAAAAAAAATTCTGTATTTGTGAAAAAGTTAGCAAATTAATTTAAAGTGTCGAAAGATAACCCACAACTACCGAAAAAAAAGTTTAATTAATTTCAATTAATTTTTTTTTTTTTGTTATTTAGAAGTCTATGTCGAGAAATTAAATCAAGTTTTGAATATTAAAAATTGCAGTTCTGTTTGAGAAACATTTGGTTATTATGCACTAAATCGCCTGTAAAAAAATAAACTTTTTGGCTCCAGAAAAAAAAAATTTTTTTTAAAATGATGAAAAAAATAATTTAAAAAAAAAAAAAATATATATAAAAAAAGAAAAAAAAGAAAAAGTGTTAGTTAACTCGAGTCAAGAATGAAGATTGAATATCAACTTGAATTCCATATTTATTTTGTTTGTTATACAAAAACTGTGGCACAATGCCCAAAATTCGGTGGAAGAGAAATACTGGTCTTGATATTAATTTTGCTTGTCATCATTGACCGAAGCATTTTTCTTTTTTATCCTTTTTCGCATTTATTCCAAATCTTTGATGCAACAGTCAACCAAAATATTCTAATAACCATGTTTTGTTTTCAACTCAAGGTTCACTCGATTGAAAAGTGTGTGTGGAAGATGTAACAAATTGGAAATAATTATTTACATTTTAACGAATTGCCAGGGTTTGTTGTGTTTTTTTTTTTAATATATATATATATATATATATATATATATATATATATATATTAAAGAAAGACAGACCACTTTAAGGCTCCATTGTAATAGTTTATTTCACCAGAGACCTTTTAAAGTACCCTGGATCCCCAGACATCACTTTCAAAAGGTAAAACGAAAAATGAAATAAAAATTTACACTTTTGACGGGTAGTATTAAGTTTATGTAATTTAACAGAGAGGGTAGCGAGGAGTGGTGTGAGAGACATGGTCGAGTTTAGTGAGGGTTTATTATATTTCTTTCTATCATACTTAATATTGAGGAAGGAGGGGTAAAGATCAGACAGTGACCTTTTTAATCGGTCAACTCAACGGAAATGATATGTTGAAAGGGAAGAAGAGAAAAAGAAAAAGGGGGAAGTAAAGAGAAAGATGTATTTAGGGTTTACGGAGGAAGAAGAGGAGTGGTATAGTTATAGCAATTTAAGTAAAAAACAGATCTTAACGTTTGATAGTAATTTAAATGTTTAAAAAAATCCACGAACAAATTAATAATGCTTGTTAGCAATAAATATTCAACTCCTCTACAAATAAATTAAGGGTTTAATGAGTTGAATACTATATTTAAAAACACATTAATAAAAAAAACATTAATAAAAAAAGATTTAAAATATAAAAGTTTACTAATATGACTGTTAGTGTTAAGGTTACATCTCTATCAGTTTGAGTCTCTAATTCATGAATGTAATTTGTAACTATTTTTAGATGGGTAACATTTCTTACTTAAAGCTTAGGTTT